CAGGGTAATTTCCTAATCTCAGCATCCTTAACCTAATCACATCTCCAAATAATCATTTTCCAAATAAGGTGACCCTTTCAGGTTCCAGGGATTAGAACCTGATACATATGAGGGTCCATTTTCAAATTTTACACACCCATCTGTTAGAGGCTAAATCATAATTTACCTTTCCTATGTTCCTACAATGTTAACACTTCATTTGTTTATCACTTTTTTTAAGATTTCATTTAATATTTGTTATTGTCTATATATGTATTAGGGTCACTTATTTAAATGAAACATAGGTCCTTCTTATTTAGTGATGTAGCAAGAGCATATGACTTGAGATTAAACACCTGCGTGCAGTTTCTGATGCTGATGAGTAATTTTGAGGAAGATGCTTAAATTTTCTTAACCTTAGGTCTCTCAAACGTAAACTAGGGATAAGCTGCCAGCCTTAGAGAGTTATCGGTGGATTTATAAGGTATGACCACAAAATACAGTGAATGTTTAAATTAAAAAAATATTACAGTGAAAGACACATTGCCATTAATCCCCCTCAAAAATACTCCCCCTCACTTCAAACACACTTATTCTATCATTCTTGTCACTTTCTGAAGGAGTTCTGGAAGTCCTCTTTCTTGAATGTCTCTAGTTGCACTGTCATGGCTGTCGTGATGTCCTGAATCCATTCAAAACGTTTACCTTTCATGGTCATTTTGACTTTGGGAAGAGCCAGAAGTCGCACAGTGCCAGATCTGGTAAATAAGGTGGATGAGGACACACCATAATGTTTTTATTTGACAGAAATTGCAATACCAGAAGCGATGGGTGACACGGAGCTTTCCATTGTGATCACAAGATACAGTGAATGCTACTGCTGGGTCCCATCCAGTGGAAAGGCAGGGATATTCAATATGGGAGGAGGTGCATCAGACCTTAGTAACAGTGTGTAGCAAGTTTCAACTTGTTTGGTGCAGTCAGTCAGGTGTGAGCTACGGTTGAGAGAAGGTGTGTTTAAAGTGTGCCATCAATCATCCTCCATCATGACAGTGCTCTATGTCACACATTGCTCTGGTATTCAGCTATAAAACCATTACGGTGTGTCTTCATCCACCATATTCACCGGATCTGGTACCGTATGGCTTCTGGCTCTTCCCCAAAGTCAAAATGATTTGAGACATCAAGGCAGCCATGACAGTGCAATTAAAGACATTCACAAAAGAGGACTTCCATAACTGCTTCACAAAGTGGCAAGAACGATGAGATGAGTGTGCTCAAACAAGGGAGAGTATTTTGAGGGGGATTAATGGCAATGTGTCTTTTACTGTAATACTTCTTTTTTAANTAATCCCCCTCAAAAATACTCCCCCTCACTTCAAACACACTTATTCTATCATTCTTGTCACTTTCTGAAGGAGTTCTGGAAGTCCTCTTTCTTGAGTGTCTTTAGTTGCACTGTCATGGCTGTCGTGATGTCTTGAATCCATTCAAAACGTTTACCTTTCATGGTCATTTTGACTTTGGGAAGAGCCAGAAGTCGCACAGTGCCAGAACTGGTAAGTAAGGTGGATGAGGACACACCATAATGTTTTTATTTGACAGAAATTGCAATACCAGAAGTGATGGGTGACACGGAGCTTTCCATTGTGATCACAAGATACACTGAATGCTACTGCTGGGTACCATCCAGTGGAAAGGCAGGGATATTCAATATGGGAAGAGGTGCATCAGACCTTAGTAACAGTGTGTGACAATTTTCAACTTGTTTGGTGTAGTCAGTCAGGTGTGAGCTACGGTTGAGAGAAGGTGTGTTTAAAGTGTGCCATCAATCATCCTCCATCATGACAATGCTCTATGTCACACATTGCTCTGGTATTCAGCTATAAAACCATTACGGTGTGTCTTCATCCACCATATTCACCGGATCTGGCACCGTATGGCTTCTGGCTCTTCCCAAAGTCAAAATGATTTGAGACATCAAGGCAGCCATGACAGTGCAATTAAAGACATTCACAAAAGAAGACTTCCATAACTGCTTCACAAAGTGGCAAGAATGATGAGATGAGTGTGCTCAAACAAGGGAGAGTATTTTGAGGGGGTTAATGGCAATGTGTCTTTTACTGTAATACTTCTTTTTTTAATATAAATATTCACCATATTGTTTGATCACACCTAAATATAATAACAAAACTGCAAGGACTTACCAAAAAAAATGCACTCTTATTAATGTTTTTTAAAAAGAAATCTTTGAGGGCAAGGGTCATTTAGAAATATTCCAGTAACCCTGGAGAAGACAGCTGCTCATTATTTCTTAACTAAATAAGTAATGACTAAAAGAATGGAGTTATATTGTGCTTACAATAAAAATATGACTCTGGATTGGTTTTCAGATGATTTCAATGGAGTGAGATTTCCCATATTACCCATGAGAATTTTGCATTTTAAAACGAAAAAAGAAACATTGTTTACCTTTGGTCCTCTAACTGGAACAGGGCGTCTCAGCCTTAGCACTAGTGACATTTTGGGCCAGACAATTCTGTGCCGTGGGGGTCTGCCCTCTACATTATGGGGTATTTAATCTGGCCTCTACCCATTAGATGCTAGAACCACCCTTCCCAACATTTGTGATAAGTAAAAATGTCTCCAGATATTGTCAAATCTCTCCTAGAGAGCAAAATCCAGAGCTGGGAATCATGAAACTAGAGTGTGTCAATATACTAGAGCTCTGGTCTCCTCAGAGGAACCTTCAACATTGAACTTCTCTGTGTTTAAGAAGGCTTTACAGATAGATACCCAGGCATTCACATTTTAGCCAGTTACTAATTCCATCTCTCTCCAGAATCTATAATGTCCCAGAGACCTTTGATTTTAGGGCATCAGAGACACAGAATTGCTCTTACTTTAGCACAGATAGCTATTAGTCTCCATATCCTACTACTATTATATACAGTAGGCATGCTTTTTATATCTAAAGGCTGATTGTTTTGTTTTATTAGCCAAAAGGAAGTCTGCATTACATTCAGCTTCCCAAAAACATGAAATGTCAGATTTGTATTTTCTTTCCAATGTTACTTCATAGGTAGCACCCCTAGTTGTCTGGGAATAATGGAGAAACCCTGAGTGCTCCTCAGACATGTCTGAAAAGCAAGCACATGAACATTTCTTCTGCATTCCTTTAAGTGGTTTTATTTTATGTATATACTCAGTTTACTCTCTTATTTGCAAACTGTAGTGGTCAATATGTATTTCTTGTTCCCTTATTAATTGCATTTCAATTCAGCCTATCCTATTTTTGGTGGGTCTCTGTTTCTGTACCTAGTGGAATTTGGTGACATCTTCATGGCCAGTCTCCAAGAAACTTAGTGATTGGTTTCTGAGTGAACACTAGTGAAATATATATATTTCATATACACATATGAATATATACACATCTATACACACACGTATATTACACATACCCAGACACATATATGTGTATATATGTGTATGTATGTATATATGTATATATGACACACATACACACACACACATGCACACACACACACACACACACACACACACACAGAAGGTGCCAAAAAATGTATACACATTTTAAGAAAGGAAAACAGTATTAAAATTGTAATACTCAATATATACCAATAACAAAAGATGAATACAAATCACATT